CTCTGTCAGCAGATGGCTCTAGGCCAACAGCAAACTGCGAGCTCCGTTGGTCACTGCTTTGATTTATTTCACCCTTTGAGACTGGACACTGTTTCAACCATGGCTTCCAGTGTAAACAACAGAGATCCTGGAGTAGCAGCAGCAGGTAACCCCACAGATAACATTTCACCCCGTTCTGCGTTAAATTATTCATCACACTGCCGTCGTCCATTCACCGGATCGTGTAACGATATTCGCAGTACGTGTTCTGCCGAACCCTTCGTAATGCACCGTCAGACCGAACAGCATCTCGCTTCACGCATCGTTGAACAAAGTTTTTGATATTTTCAGCGAAGTGCACAAACTTTAAGAAAATACAAATAAATATAAACCTAGGCAACTATTTAATTAAATCCGTTCCAAACTCCACGTAATTTAAAGACGTAACATGGGCTACTGGGGAGTATACAGGGCATGGAAGCAAACTTCCACGCGTTCTGACTCGTAATAATTGTTACTGGTTTAGCTAACTCTCTCCCCCCCCGGCCCCTAACCATTGAACGAACGGTATACTCGACGCGAAATATCAGCGAGCCTGAGCTATGTCACAGTAAGAGGGGAAGAGGAAGCGACTTACGCGCTATCATATCCCCTCCCCGCACCTGGACTAACTAACCAATAACACGTTTGTTACAGTTAACGAAGCTCCGGGCTGTGCGACAAGTATTAGGCCTTTCTTTGAGATACAAAATAGTAGGCCTACTTAAGTTGCTTTGTTTTTAAAGCGTTAAATGTAAATAAAATATTCTCCACATAGTAAAATTACACGTAACATTTAATAAAATACATATTTCTTGTAGTTATACGGAAATGATTTTATCCAAGACATTTATATTTTGTTTTAAACACTGTCTGCAAAGAAATAAATATGTAAAATTAATTATAACATAACTAGTATTTTAGATGCATCGTAGGACGTCCTGGATAGGAGATCAACTCATCCCGAGGTCTCTACCACCACAATACAACACACTAAACTCTGACCTACAGATGAGAAAGTGTTCGTGTCTCTGCAAAAATGTCGGCTATCTTGGGTTCTTTCGTGGTTTTCCGCAACCTGTCAAGGCTATGATTCGATAGTTCCATGAAAACAGACAACGACCACCTTACTCCAAGTCACACTCAGCGAATGCAGTTCAAATACCGTCTTTGAATGAAGTTTAGAAATCTGTGACAGGAGTTCTTATACCTCATAGCAATTCCGTTTTAAAAGTATTACGAATGTCAACAATTATATTTTTAAGTTTTGTTTACTCTAGATGGAACGAAATTAGTTTCGTTGTGATTTAAATTTATTTTGTGACAATTACGACTCTCTTAGGAAATAATTAATTTTCCCAGACATTTAAGAGTCTGAGCCGGCTGTTACAAATTTACATAACTCCTGGTACTCAACCTTCATGAACCTTATTTAGAATCCCAGGTTCAGACGCTTTTACGACACTCCTCAACTGCTGTTAAGAGGCTGCTGTCTCGAACAATACGAATGTAATGATGACTTACAGCCTATTAGAGCTGTAAGTGTCTCGCCAGCTGCAGTTCCGTTATTTAACGGTGACCACTCGCTGTGCTTTAGCTGCGCAGAAAACGCGGACGGTTCCACTCCCTCTTAGAGGGAGTGTACGTTTGTTTGCCCACAGTTGCTTTCGAGGAAACTTGAGTGTGGGAGTTTCGTAAGAAAGAAAAATTACCCCGGGTGCTATAAGCAGCCAACATTAAGTAAACTACATGTTCGAGGCGTTGAGGAAACGCTTGAAAACATAGTTGGCCTCCGAGTCGAGAATCGAACTTGGGATCCACAGAACATGAAACATTATTAATTAGAAAACCATGACGCTCAGCGGTGAGGACTTAGCAGATGGTATCCATTGCTTATTTCTACCATACTGGAAATTAGTTACTTTTTGAAAAGAGGTTTGGTGCATTACCGTTACAATAACGGCCTTGCCTAGGGACTTTAATTTTATTTTCATTACGATATGTTTCAATTCATCCAGATATTTGTGCATATTTTATGGAAAATATTCATTTGAAGAAGACTTCAATGTATATCCGAACCAAGGCAAAGGTTGTGTGGCGAGAAAGAGATCTGGCGACACCATCATCCTACTTATTAAACAAACATCAGCGCTCTAATGCAGATAACCACTGGCCTTTTTCGACACGTACGTTACTTGTAATTGCTTATTAAACGGTATATAAATCGTAAATCGGTGTCTCGGTGTGTTTTTTCACAATAACTTATATTTGTAAATGAACTCAACTCAAATATTAATTAAATTAACGGTTAATCATTCAGCGATAATCATTCAGATGTCACGCGTTTACTAAATGAACAACTTCACATTTAATGATATATGAATAACTATTAGAACTGTAATTTTAGAATCTTGCTGAGTAACAACAATATTTATAAAATCTATCGCGCCTATACCTACTCTACTCTGATTTGAATTTATTTAATTATTCAAATACCATTTCTCCGTAATTGTAACTCTACGGGTATAAGATATTTCTTTCTGATATTTGGTCATGGTAATGACCATGATCATATTCTTAAGTCACACCATTAATGTTCATCAGTTTTATACTATTTAGAGATCCCTGCAATTTTAGAATTCCCACAATAAAAATAATACTGTATCCGTAATAACTTCTTGTGTCTTATTCTTAGTTAATAACATCTGGTTCTTCCAACTACTTTCCTTGCCCAAAGAATTAAAATATTACGAGTAGTTAGGGCTCTAAGAGTTCTTTCCAAATAGCTAAGTTACTAAATTTCATGAATCATGTAAAAATAATTACAGATTTACACATTTAACGAAAATCTGACAACAAATTATTAAAGACAAAGGTTTGCTATGCATGCAGACTACTCTACCAATAAACACGTTTATAATTAAACGAACAGCTGTTTTAAGCGTTTGGTTAAACAGCGTCTACTTAACTGAAAGAACAAGGAACATTGTTAGAGTTTCTCTGTCTGTTTTGTTAACAACACTCATCTGGTAGTGAGGGGAGGATAAAGAATTAATGACATCAAAAATTAATAAACGAAAGAACGAAAAATAAGAGACGAAATACGCACAAAGATGTAAACAAATAAAAAGTTACGAGGTTTAAATAAAATACGAACAAACTTAAACATCTCCAGTCTTCGTGTTTAATTAATATTGAAGTTTCTCCGTCTTTACTCATGAGACATCAATATTATTATCTGTTTTATTTTCCAATGTGTTTTCGTATCTGGAGAATAGCTGGTCGCTCGCTGCATTCATAACTAAGGAACCCATCGTATGATTGTGTCGTAAATTGTCAGTCACTAGTAGGATGAAAGGGACGTTCTAACCACATCTGATTTAAACCCACGTCAATCTTGTCTGTCAGTGACGTGGAGTTATTTTGTGCACTGTGACGTCTACTATATAGTCGAATATTGAATTATATATAGAAACCCGTACGCGAAGGATAAAATACGTAAAGAGGCACCAGATGATTATAAAGATGAAACTCAGTGGAATAAATTAGTACAAGACACAGAACAGAAAATAATTAAACTAATTGTAAAACAAAAATGGAAGTTAGAAATTGGTTACGCAATCCAAAAAATTACAGAAAGAGAGAGCTTTATTAAGAACAGATATTTAAACAGAAAAAATAAATAATGGAAGGAATAAAATCAATATTAATGTTGATTAAAGTAAGTAACATATTAAAAGGAATCTCGCTGTGGTAGTTAAATTTACATTGTAAGATTCTATTTATAATAGTACGTATCATGTTTCAAAATCTTAAATTAATATTGTTAATCAACAACTACTACTTTCTCTACAATTAACCGTCTATGAGATAAAGATTTTGTTCTATAAATAATAGCGCCCCTAAAATTGCAATATTATTATTTTTGACCTCAGTTTGAACACAGTGCAACTATTATTTCATTTGTAAGATGGTGATAGTGTTGTGATACTACATACACAAAAAACATATAATTATTATAAATATTAATATTATTTGTATTCAGCTGTGAGAATATTTTTAAAAAATTAGAATTTAAAACAGGAAGTTGCTAAGAAATTCTGTAACCACAAATTTTTTGCAGGCCTGTAGCCAAGCAAGCAATCGTCCTAGAATGAAGTAACACAAAATATTGAGCCGTGTGTGTATGAGAGAGGGGGGGGGGGGC